AAAAAAAAGAGTGTCATTGATGAGCAATGACGTAGGCCATATGAGCGTATGCAAAATATGTTTGGGAAGCGGGAAATACTGTAAACAATCTCATTTTCTGCGTGACGGAGATTAATAGTATTTTACATAAACTTATGAAAAAAAGTGTTTTAATTTAGCCTCACTTGTCGAGGAAAAATATAATTCAGTTAAGACAAATTAATGCAAACTGCTGCACAAAGTATGGGTGAAATTGATTCACCTGTTAATTAAAGAGATATTTGGAGATAAGTTGCGCCACGAATTTTTGACCGCACTATTGTGCACACTTTTCCTTAATAAACACGAAAGCTTTAGATTGTAAACAAAGAAAGATATTTAAAAAATTATTAATTTCCAGTGATATCTGTGAATTAGCTGCGCTTGTGATAGTCTTTGTGTTACATGGGGGCATTGCGACAAGACTTGGGGTAGGCCTATCCATTATTAGAATACATAACTCAGCTAAAGGAGGGGGGGGCAGAAAGATGAAATCATGGATGTCATTTTCATGTCAGCGAACGCGCGAACCATCCTTTGCGAGCTGCTCCAACACGGAACTGTTCCCGGATTACGTTTACTTGTGTCAGAAGTGGGTCAGGAGTGCGATCTATATTTAGAAACTGTGCCAGCGCTAACGTAACTGTGGTGTTGGTCGGCTGGGGTCTTGTTGTTGATCGTTGGGACTGGGAGAGGGCTGTCTTCGCCAAAATATCGATTTGTGTCAGCGATGCAGTACTAGGCCTATCTATTCGCTCCTGTCTGCACGGTGAACTGTGCACAGAAGCACAAACAATATCAATGTGAATGTGATCTATGAATTTCATTTCGTCGTGACCGAGATTCTTCAACCATATTGGCTGTGATCTAGATATCTAGGCTAGTAAGATCAAATCAAGACGACCTGTGAGGTAGGAGGAGGGGATGCTGTTCCCGCTGCGATGTGTTTTGAGTTTTGGTCTTGTGGATTGTTTTGCTGTGCTCCCGCCCGATTAGGGCTGTCTATAGTGTGAAGAGAGAGAGAGAGAGAGAGAGAGAGAGAGATTCTGAGTGGTAAAATTCTGAAAAATTATAAGTTCGAACAAAGAGAAACACATTCTCGACTTCCTGGAAAACACCCAAACCAAAGAATTGAGCTGACTGTACACTTTTCCTTCAATGTACATGGTTAATGCAAACTTATCCCTTTAAGCCCTTTTGTTATAACCAGCAACACTCTAGTGTTGGTAGACGCGGTGTGAAGTGGATGAAAAGTACAAAAGAAAAAAGTGAAATATATATGAGGTCGGACCCCCCTACTTCTCGTCAACTTCCGGAGAAACCGAACTATGTCAAGAGTGGATGACGATTGTGAGAAAAATGAGCGAAGCTGTATAGATCTAGCTTTAGCGCTATAATGAAATTCTTATTATTATGTATATCGCGCAAAGTCACGCTCAACAGCAAGCTCTATGCACTTTACAATCTGTATTATTACCCCAAAATATCTGATAGCATTCTGAAACAATCTCAAATTACTGGAAAGTATGCAGTGCGAGCTGCCATTAATTTTATAGGTGTTAAAACGTTAAGTTACTGGCAAGATCTTTCGCTGCCCTATGGCCAGGCACCCACGGGGGTGAAATGAGGAAAATTCGTGTAAAGTGTCTTTCCCAAGGACACAACGTCACGTCGGGGGCGGGGGAGGCAGGGGGGGGGGTTAGTGTTTTACGGCGCTCGAAACTGCGAAATGTCGTTTGAGCGCACGGGGCACACCAAACATTTTCAGTGGTCATGAAATGTTGAATTTTGCCCGGGTGGCGCCGAAGCCTACTTTTATCGATTTTGGACCACCAAGGGATCTTTAACTTGCACAACTTGCATACAGGACCTCCGAGATGTTTTGCCCTTATCCGAGAAGGCTAGGTGTAGATCTTTCCAACCAGAAGAAGAGGAGCTAAAAGACAGCAGCAGAAGGGGCCAAAGAGAAGCAGTAGAAAGGCTGCAGAAAGAGTCAGGAGCCCAGAGGAAGGGGCAAAGGAGGTGAAGGAGTGGGGGCAGAAAATGGGGATGAAAGCAGACGATAAAACATTGTCAGAGAGCAGGAAAGGATGTGAAAGGAAAAAATTTTATAGAAGAAAATGTTTCGTAGTTACCCGGATATGAACCCGGGGCGTTTTGAATGAGAGGCGAAAACCTTAACCTCTAGACAACGAGAGCCCCCATATCATCTTTTTTTTTTATAGTAGAGGGTTTAACGGCGCTCGCAACTGCATAATGTCATATGAGCGCGCGGGACACACCAAATACTTTAGTTGGTAGGAAATTTTGAATTTTGCCTGGGTGGCGGCCCTCCGAGATTTCTTGCCGTTGTCCAAGAAGGCTAGGTGTAGATCTTTCCTACCAGAAAATCAGGGTTGAGGCAGAAAGACAGCTGTAAGAAGGAGTCAAGGAGTAGCAGTAGAAAGGCTGCAGAAAGAGTCAGGAGCCCAGAGGAGGGGGCAAAGGAGGTGAGGGGGTGGGGGCAGAAAGAGGAGACGAAA